TTATATAAGATATAAGTGGCTAGTATTGCTTCTCAAGAGGCAAGGATTTACTTGAAAGTTCTGTAACCAGTTTTTATATTTTGAAGTGGTTTGATTAATTTTAATAATTATAGAGTTGGATATTGGGATGTTTGCTTGATAATTTTAAACATGGATTCTGTTAACTCTGTTATCCATGCTTACACTGTTTCTTTGCCAGGTGGCTATCATTTACAAGATTATGTTTTTGTTTGATAGGCCTTATGCTTTTTGCTTTATTATATTCTTTTAAAACTGAATTGTGTTTTTTAGACATTCCATTGTTAATTTTTAGTATTAGGACAAAATATTCTAATGCTAGAAACCAAGTATATATGTTTTCTAATTTTGTTTTGGTGCATGCAGTTGGCGTTGGGGTCTTGTGGTTCAGATCTTGGTTTTGGAATCCATGGGAACTAGATTTATATTCTAACACTACCACTTACTAAAGGATTGCTCGTATAAGCTGTGTTTTCTTTCTGAGCCTTGTTTTATTCTCTTTAAAAAAAAATAATAGGTTGGTTTGCATTTTTTAGAATTTTGAGTAAATGTTATCTTTATTTTTTTTAAGAGGGAATCCTTTCAGCCTCATTATTTTGAGATTCAAACATATTGTTGTGTATATCAGTAGTTCATTCATTTTTATTGCTTAGTCGTGTTCCATTGCATGGAGATACCATAGTTTGTTTATCTGTTCATTTTTTGATGGATATTCTAAAATGGCCATAAGGACACTTTGAGAAGTGATGGATGTATTGATTATCTTGATTTTGGTGATTGTTTCATGGGTGTGTACTTATCAAAGTTACACATTTAAATGTCAATTTATACTTCACAGAAGTGGTTAAAAAGTCAAGTGGTTTTAACATCAGTGATTGACAAGAAGAAAAATATTTCTATCTTGTAACACATCTCCAGTTTTAAAACCCTACCTATTTATTTGTTCAATAAACAAATATTAAATACCTTAAAAACCAATAACAGCTTGTATCATTCTGGGTTGTTAAGGATTAAACCACATTTAAAAAAATTTTTTTTTAATGTTTTATTTATTTCTGAGAGAGAGTGAGAGCGTGAGCAGCGGAGGGTCAGAGAGAAAGGGAGATACAGAATCCGAAGCAGGCTGCAGGCTCTGAGCTAGCTGTCAGCACAGAGCCTGACGCGGGGCTCGAACCCACAAACCGTGAGATCATGACCTGAGCCAAAGTTGGACGCTCAACCGACTGAGCCACCCAGGCGCCCCTAACCACGTATTGTTTTTAAAAGCATTTGGCCTGGGGCGCCTGGGTGGCTTAGTCGGTTAAGCGTCTGACTTTCGCTTAGGTCATGATCTCGCGGTTCGTGGGTTC